TTCAATTTTGTTTAATCTGATTTTCAAAATTTTGGGGGGACTGAGCGTCAAGTTAGCCCCCCCACATTCGAATTTTCTGAAAAAATTGCAACCACTTACTGTGCTCGAAGTGTGCTTTACTGTGCCGATGATATTTTGAACTGTGCCGTTTCGATAACAAAGTTATAGGAAAAAATAGATGGGGGGCTAACTTGACGCTCAGCCCCCCCAAAATTTTGGAAATCAGATTAAACAAAATTGAATTCTTATCCAGTCTGAAGTGTGCTGAACTGTGCTGTATAAGGTTTTTCTCAAAATTTCCATATTCGGTCATTTTCCGACAAAATCCTACTGGGGGGCTAACTTGATGCTCAGCCCCCTCAAAATTTTGGAAAACAGATTAAACAAAATTGAATTCTTATCCAGTCTGAAGTGTGCTGAACTGTGCTGTATCAGGTTTTTCTCAAAATTTCCATATTCGGTCATTTTCCGACAAAATCCTACTGGGGGGCTAACTTGACGTTCAGCCCCCCCAAAATTTTGGAAATCAGATTAAACAAAATTGAATTCTTATCTAATCTGAAGTGTGCTGAACTGTACTGTATCAGGTTTTTCTCACGTGGGAGACTGTAAGCGTTTCGTAAAAACCAAACTAAAGAAAAACTGCTTCAGATATCGAGATGAACTTATTAAATTTATATATACGAAGGATTATACAACCAGCCTACAAAAGCGTTTCCTTGATATAATAAATATAGCTAATGACTCGCTGCGTTGCCAGCTTGAAAATACATTTTGAAGGAATAATAAATCATTTGAAAAAGAAAAAATCTCCAGGATATGATACAATTACTACAGAAACTCTTCAAATTTTAGCTCCATACATAAAAACACCACTTACACATATAATAAATAAAATATTTGAACAGGGATACTATCCAAGTAGGCTGAAAATTGGAATTATCAAACCTCTCTATAAATCTGGGGGAAAGTTACAGATAGAAAACTATAGACCAATAACCCTAATTTCTATGCTTTCAAAAATTGTGGAAAAAATAATGAAAAAAAGGGTTGTTTCTTATCTTACTAAATATAAATTAATATCAGACAAACAGTTTGGGTTTCAGCAGGGGTTATCCACAGAAGATGCCATAGCATACGTAACGGATAATGTTTACAGAAAACTTGATAATGATGAATATGTTATGGTATTTTTTTTAGACCTTGCAAAGGCATTCGACACTGTGGATCACCCCATGCTGATAACTGTCTTAAAAAATCTAGGATTTCGTGGAATTACAGAAAAACTGATAATATCATATCTAAGTGAAAGAAGGCAATATGTCCAGATCGGTAAAACATTTAGTGAACCAACAACTGTGGAGTACGGTGTTCCTCAAGGAAGCGTACTAGGCCCAATCCTATTTACAATGTATATAAATGGCTTGTTAAACATAAATACATTTGGGCTGATCGCATCGTTTGCTGATGATACAGTTATTATATACAGTGGAAAAACATGGAAAGAAACGAAACTACAAGCAGAAAAGGATTTAGCAAAGATAAAGGATTGGTTTGATGAGATGTCTCTGACAATTAACTTTAAGAAAACAAAATACATACCTTTCAGTTGTAGTAAGGCAAAAGCTCCAAATTTCACAGAAATTAACGTAACACAAGCAAATAACTCAAAAGTAACTATAAAAGGGACAGATAATATAAAATATTTGGGAATAGTACTGGATAGATATTTGAAATGGGACGTACATATCAACAACCTAATAAATAAACTACGTGTTATACTTTTTAAATTTAAAAAACTAAAAAAAATTCTTTGCTTTTCACAACTTAGGATTATGTATTGTGCACTCGTTCAATCCTTAATTCAGTATGGGATAGTTGGGTGGGGTGGAGCCTATAAAATACATATTGAAAAGTTAGAAAAATTCAAAAGGTTTTCCTAAGGATAATGATCAATAAAAATCGCCTTTATTCAAGTAACAAAACATATGAAGAGAGTAAGCTAATGGACATTAATAAATTATATACCTTCAAATTGTTAATATATCAATTCAGATATAGGCACAAACTAAATATGATTGATCACCCACATAATACCCGACAAAAGTTGAAACTGAGGGGTTGCAACTATTAAAACCAAAAAGACAATTGCTCAAAGAACAATTTCCTTTCTCGGGCCTTACATCTATAGATTTTTGCCAGATTTTCTTAAGGATGTCACTATATTGAAATTGTTTAGAAGTATTTTGAAGAAATGGATTCTTGAAACTCCCCGTACGTTTTTTAATGAACTAATAAATGGAAAACTCAAATAACATTACTTGCATATCGAGTTGCATATTCAATCTTTAGGTTCAAAGAATTCTTCTTTAAAATAGGCAAATTCTCTTTATGAATCTTGTTTTTTTGAAGTGCAGAGTGACAATGGATTTATACAACATAGGGCTACTGAGGTATTTTTTTGTTTTGTTATTATTTATATACTTATAATTATTGTTGTAAATTTATGGAAATGGGTATGCTCCCTGGTATGCTAAGGGTCAAATTTAGATTGTTTTGTGTTTTCAAGTACTTCCTATGACTACTTATTATTTTGTTTCAACATGTAAACGCGGTCTGCATAACTGAATGGAATAACAAGAAAAGTCTGCACACAAGTCCATCAGGACTTCAGCAGAAATGTTCTTATTTATTTATTTTCCTTCTGGTTACCTTGAAAGTAGTTTACTATGCGCTCGTCGAATCCATAATTAATTATGGCATTGTTGTTTGGGGTAGTGCAGGTGTGACTACATTGAACAAGCTCCAAGTAGCACAGAAATACATAATAAAAATTATGTTATTTAAAAATAAAAGATATCCAACTGAGTTGGTTTTCAAAGATAGTGAACTGTTAGATATCCAACAATTGCACCTTAAGGCAATAGTTAGATTTATGTTAAAAGTGCCTTATTATAAGGAACCTATTAGCCACGGAGTAAATACGAGAAACACTGCTAAGAACAATGTGACAAGACACAACCCCAAACATACAATCTGTCAATATCACATTTCTAGCTTAGGACCAAAAGTTTTTAATAGCCTCCCGAATAATATTAGAAACAAGCCATATCATAGATGTAAAAGAGAAATAAAACAGTGGATTCGTCAGAGTAATTACAAGATACATTACCTAATTTAAAAATAGTAAAAGATAATAACATTATTATTGTTTATATTTATATACATAAGTGAGTCAAATTAGGAACCTCAAGGGATAGACTGATATGGGAAAAAAGGGGCACACACAGTATTTCAAATACCATCGTGCACCCACATTAGGCAATAGTGTTAAGTATAGGTAAACTATATTGGGTATTTTTGTTATTATTTAAGGATACTATTGTTGATCAATAAATAAATAAATAAATAAATAAATAAATAAAAAAAAAAAAAAAAAAAAAAAAATAATACACTTTTTTTCAAATTTTGTTGTTGTTTTTTGTATTTATTTTTTTTTAAATCCGATACCAGAGTCGCTTGCCAGTGAGTTCAGTGATGCATTTTAAACACTCCAGAGCGCCCCGGGCTGTTTATAGGCGTTCCAGTGTATCAGAGCTTCGCGCAACCGAACTTTTTTTTTCCGAGATAAAAAATAGCCTATATCACTCTCCTCTATAGCCGAATTCGATTGACCGGATTAGATTGATCTGGTTCAATTTAAGTGAACCACACTGTGTTGGATTGAGGCTGAATCAGTGCACCCTCATCAACAAAAAAAATGATCTAGATTAGAAGAAGTTCACTTAAATTGAACCCAAATCAATCTAATCTGGGTCAATCGAATTCAGCTTACACAGAGATACGTGGTATTAAATTTGAGATCGGTCCAGCCGTTCTCGAATTCAAAAAATAATAAAGTTACGTCGATTGAATGGCAAGCCTAAATAAATGAAATATGGCAACGTTGTTTCATGCGGTCAAAAAAAAGTTGGGTTATGTTGTTATGTAATGTGAATGAGTTTGTTTACAATTAAATTAACAATTAATTCAAAATTAATTTCTTTTTCCGAGATGCGTAAACTATCCACAAACCTTCCTTGGGATGGCCATAACAACCTAACAAAGTTTCATCGTAATCGGATAAGTGATGTAGGAGCGCATAGCCGGATACCCAGCAAACATTGATTTTTTTATATATATAATATATAGATTTATTGTAGAAAAATATGGTTGAAGGTCGCCTTTTTTTGCTCTTTTTTGAACGCAAATGAGCGATGGATTTTTTTTTTAAAAATCGCTCTGTAGGCTGGTAGGTTGGTTGAACCCTTGTAAGTTTTTGATCCAAAAATGAAGTCTGGTATTGCTTTATTGACGCCATAGTTTGGTTTTTGGTGAGCACTGATTTGATGCATTTTTGACTAAAATTATTTAATGCAGCGTTAAAACGCTGCATTAAATAATTTATTGACAATAAATCGTTTTAACACTGCAATAAATTATTGTAGTGTAGTTTTGTATTTCATTAAGCTTTTTAATGCATGTCGCAATTGTCTAGCTTTTCTTGAACTTTCGTCTCGCGGTCTGTGACTAAATAGCTTTTTGCCTGTAGTGGAGCCTTAACGCTCAGCTCTGGAATAAGTTTAAAAAATAAAAAACATATTGCGTTTTATTATCATCTCACAATGCAAAAATACAAAAATATGAAAATAGGTACACATATAGGAAAAAAAAACAACAAAATGCAAAAATACAAAAATAAAAACATAATAAAAACAATTACACAAATACGTACTTAAATAAGATTGTGTGAAAACAGGAAAAAAACTAGAATGTAAGAACGCAAAAATTCAATACTCAAATACAAAAATAAAATAAACTTCAATAGTAAAAAATATTTTGGGAAAAAAAAGAAACTGTAAGAATGCAAAAATTCAATACTCAAATTCAAAAATAAAATAAACTTCAATAGTAAAAAATATTTTGGTTTAAACATACAAACGTTAACAAATTAATAATTATCAAACTCTATAAAATAGTAAATGGGGATATACCATCTCGACTTCTGAGCAGTCCTGTTTATTGTTAGCGAGACTATCATACAACTCCCATTTCTCCCCAATTCTGTGACAGTATGCCTTGAAGTGTCCAATATGAGTGATATTTATAGGTTGTTGCGGTCCTACATACGCTATCACCCCACCCAAGGTTAATAATGTATCGTCTATCCATATCTCTTTTGAGATATCAGATAGACGAAGTAGTGGAATTGAGGGCAAAGAATTTGTTGTGGATCTAGTTATTTCCACAAATATGTAAACTTGGTTTTTCTCAATACTCACATCTGTAGTGCCTCCACAGTCCTTACGCGAACACGTGCTGCTGGAAAATCTTTTCCAAAAATATGACTCTACACCCTCAGAAATGCTTATATTTTGTTCTATAACCAATGGAATGATAGGCATGGATATTATTCTAATATTGGAACACTTTGAACAATATATTTTTTCAACATAAGAATAATAAAGTTCTCCGGAATTAGCAAGCTTGCGGATCAAATTTTCTACAGTAGTTTCAGTTGAAATATGGATCATTCCATTCGGTAACATATTGTGGTTTGGGAATGTCATAGAGAGGATTTCTGCCCGCAACTTGTAAGCTTTCAGTCCTATGAGCTTGATCATTTGTTTAGTGAGCTCTAGAAGTTGCTGAGATTGAAAGAAGGCAGCGAAATGATTACTGTCACAAAAGCTTGTACATAAAATTTGCATCAGCGAATCAAATGCACAAGTATTTGTTAACAAAACTTTTTTTTTCGCTAACTTAACAGGTTGCAGTTTGACGCAATTACCGTTCCTCAAAATTCCAATTGGAACAACACTGACTTTTTGTTGTAAGTCTATGTGGAGCCATTCGCTATTTTTTTCCAAGTAACTGCGTCGTTTTCGTTTACTTGGAACAACTAGTCCACCCCAGTTTTCTTGCGCACGTATTTCTTCATCAGCGATGTCGTAGTCAGCTGGAGCTGTGAGAAACAAATCTTTGAAAAATATGCAGAATATTCAGTCAACTTTATAAAATAACAAGAAAATATAGCATCTACATTTATCACTATGCGCTCTTTATATAATCAATAATTCAGTTAACAAATATAGGTTCTGACGTTAGACTCACAATATCTATTTAAGTGGTAGGTAACGTGAGATTGAATGAAGACATGGTGTTTCGACTATATATCATCACCCTATTACCTACCATTTGACCAGTTACGTATCTCTGGTCGTTATCAAGCTATGAATAATACAAGTTCTTACCAGTTACAATATTACATACAGTTTCTTAATTAATTATTGGATTTTTTTTTATATTATATTCTCGTAGCTGTTAAGAAATTGTATCATTCATAGCTTGATAAGAAACAGAAAGACCTTCGGACGATGAGGTAATGATATAGTCAAAACACCATGTCTTCACTCGTGATCTCATTTTGCCGTCTTCTCTGAACTGTATAACATTTACTGTAGTTTGGAGTGAAATGGTATGAGAAATGATCTGAAAATTAAAAAAAAAAAAGGAATAGTCAATTTTAGTGCACACCATACCTGATAAAACTTCCGTTGGGCTTTGTTGAATACTGGAAATGTTGTGCAAAGATTCATCTTTGGCGGTTTCTACGGTTTCTACAAATAAAATGGAATAAAAAAAGCGCTTACGGAATATTAGGCAGCTTACCAAATGTGTTGTCTAATGATTGCGCCATCGCTATCTTCATAGCACCTTCAAGTGATGAAATATGTTTGGTTAAAAATTCATCTATTCTGATGGGTAAATGTTCATCTGCGAAGGTCCTGTTCTTTAAATTGTTGAAATTACTTTCTACTGGTGCACTAGAAGCAGTAGAGTGTGCATTCGGAAAATGTTCAGTCGACATTACTGAAGACCATAGAGGAAATGTTTTCAGCAGAGATATTATTTTTGGAATCAGTGCAGGAAGGAATTGGCAGTTATCACGATTTCCCCTAACAATTTCATTTCTAGCCTCAGTCTCTATAGCCCTACCCCATTCACAGAAATTGTTATTCGACAGATCTTCAAAATTCATAATATCATTATCAGTCTCATATTCGTTGCCAATATCGTCATTCATGTTTTCGTAGCCGATTACCCTCCGTAAAAAACTTTTACACTTTTCAGATGGGGTTTCGATGTTAGTACTGCCCGAAGTACCTTCAGTTTCGTTAAGTGCAACAACACATATTGCTTTAAGAATTTTGTGTGCATCAGACATATTAGTGGTTTGAATTAACTGACCAATTACCCTTTTATAAAAATGTCTGCTTCGTTTTGGTGCACTTTTCAAACATTCCCACCCACAAATCGATTTTATAACATGGGCGACATCAAAACGAACATATGTGCTAAGTTTAAATTTCAAGGACTGCCTCTTCAAAAGGTGCTCATAGCAGTCATCTAGGTAAACACCCAGTGACGAATAACTTGTGAATGATCGAATAATAGCAGATGTTAATGCAATTGACATATCACAAACGACTTCGTTTGGCATCTTTGCTCCGTCTCGTTTCCAAAATTGCAGCCAGTGCATTATACTGTCAGCATCGTGTCTCTCTGAGAGCATGTTGCATGCCGAGTACTGCATTCCAGTTTTTCGATCATTGACAGTAATATCATATAAAAAAATCACTTTGGATTTCTCGCCGCTTGGTTTTGTAATACGACGGACTACTTCTCCTGTAGCGTCAATTGATATTTTTGAATGGGTAGTTGTTTGTACATAGTTATTATATACATGAATTTGGGGTGTACTCCAGTAGTGAACAAATAACCGATCAAGGCCGATATCTTTAATATAATTATTGTAAGGGTGTTGATATTTCAGAGCGTATACCGACTCGATTGGATCCTCGCTCAACCTATTACGTTTGCGTTCTTCGTACTTCAAATTTCTCAAAATATTGCTTTTTGGTATCACATTTGGTTCGGCCTCACCCAATATCATTATGTTATCAACTTGTCGTTTACGGTAAGTGCTAGCTGGAAGTCGATTGGACAATAACACTTTTCCGATCTCACGTCTATATGCCCCTCGGAGTTGTCTCTTGATTACACTTTTACAATCATCGAAGTTGCCTGAATATTGACAATGGATTACGACAAGAGAATGTGCTGATGGCTTAACGGGCAGAACACCAGTTAAATTGGACTCACAGTTCTTACAGGTCCCTTTAAAATTCAAATACAGTCCCGTTTCATGTATTTTAGCTCGATGGAATTTTATCGTGCATGGCAATTTCGTTACATGCCAAAAATGATTAGCGACGATGCTTGTCCATTTACCTGGAGGTAGAGCATTATATATTCTGGAGCCATATAGTTTGGACTGTGGTTTGATTTCGTTCCATTCCTGAGCAGACAATGTAATACAAAATGACGTTGAATTTTCTTCTGTGGAAATGCTATTTTTTGAATTTGTGGAATTTTCATCCGAAGAACTAAGTTCATCATGTTGAGGCACATCCTTCAAAGATGGTTTTAGTTTCTCCAGGAAGTTATGACGATTTTGTAGAACCATGGTGTAATAGTTATTTATGATATAAGTGTTAAAAGTACATTTTTAAGGCACGCATGTGAAAGTTTGCAGAATGAGCGAAGCGAATTCTGCAATTCACATAAGTGCTTTAAAAATACTTTAAACACAAATATCATACAATATTTTTTCTACAAACGGCAATAAAAAGCAATAACCACTAACAAATTGGATTTTTAAATGAATAATAAATTGGAAGCATCTTTCCTACATAAAATTCTTGAATTTGACATTTGTCAAAAAATCCATACAACCAGCACCTTGTTTTACAGGTAACGAAATGTCTTGTCAGTTTCTTGAAAGTATGTCGTGGTCAGGAATGCTTTTTGCTAAAAATGCAACAATATACAGAAGAAAAAGAGAGTTGCATCGATCCTTCGAAAAATATAGATGAGGCGGCCAATCGGGCTACCTCAGTTGTTCAAATTTCACCATTATTATCAATGTAAATAACTGAAAATACAAACTTTTTTTGACGTCCGCTCTCAAAATTTGATGTTTCACTTTTAACACTAGTGCTATAAAGACTTTATGGCACTAGTGCGATAAAGTAACATTTTTAATGCTTCGGGGCGGTGTTAAAAATTGCATTTTTAACACGTTTGTAGAAAAAGATATTTTTTAGTGTAGTGGTGACTTGCCTCCTTGGATATTATTTTCCACACCGAGTGGGAAGGTGGATTGATTTTTCCAGTTACGATATCGAAAATCTCACTTTTATTTTTGAGAAAAATATCGAATAAGTGATCTATCTTCCGATTTTGAGGCATTATGATTTACACAATAATTTCGAACCTGATCTGAAAATAAATAAAGCATCAATGTTTTATTTAGTTTTTTGCTAAAATCTTGGGTAATTTTAAACAGTAGGTAACTTGAAAATTTTAGATGAACAATAAACTTCAAAATCTCATTTGTTTTGGGAATTACGAAATAGTACATTATATACCTAGGTACTAAAGTGGTAGTTTTAATCCCAAGACAAGAAGTTTATTATTTGTCGAGAGATTAAAAAAACACTTAAGTCCTGAGGTGTATAAACTTTACTCTCGAGTAAATGAAACAGGGATTGAAAGGGTATTTTTAATTTCTGTTCTAAAATCCCCGGAAAATAAAGTGAAAATTTAATCCCTGGGAAATAAAGTAAAATTTAATACCGGAGATTAAAAGACCCACATTACTCCCTAAGAATGCACTACATACATGGTGCTTCAAAAAGTGTGGCGCATCCTTCATATGTTTATTCCTAATTAAATGAATCATCCCATTTTTTAATCTATCTTTAAATTCTGCGACAAATTCTAAAACTTTTCTAATAGGTAATAATAGCTTTGTTCGCGGGTGAATTCTGAACCGATTCCGAACCGTTTCCGAACCATTTTCGAAATGATTGCACAAATATTTGCTTTGTCAATGAAAAGTGTTTAATATTTTTCTGACAATAAAGCTTATTTGATTGGATTGGATTTGAAAATAGCTCCAAACCAGTTCAGAGTCGAACCCGCGTACGAAGTACGAAGCTAATGTTAAACCTACAGTGCTAACGAAAATAGTCCTCCCCCCTTCTAAATATCCGTCACTCAATTCTGAACCACAACCACAAATTATTTATTTCATTTCTACTTGACAATTATTGATCCATGATACCTTGGAAACAAAATACTTTAATATACCCGTAGCACCCGCTCCTAATTCCCCTGGGCGTTATGATCTATAACGCCCGCCTTTATTTCCTTAGGGCGTTACGATCCGAAACACCCGCTCATAATAGTTGTATTCCTTTCAAGAGCTTGAAACACTCGAGCTACTCGCTTTGGTGCTTAGTCGCCCCCGATTTGCAGAGAACATAATGCGTGGTGCAACAAACACTTTTCGGAAGGAATAAGCGCGTGAATCCCCGGAGCTGTTCCGGAGCTCCTCCTAGGTGTGAAAGGAATACAAAATACAACTAATGCCTGTTGCCGTTATGATCTATAACACCTGCTCATAACGCCCGCCTATAACACCCGCCTATAGTGCCCTGCGGTTGTTATGGATATGTCAATACAATCAAAAGAAGGACGTTCTACCTAAGCTTAAAACATCCTAGTTATGCTATCAATTACCGTATTCCTTTTACCCGTTGAGTTAGTTACTCGGAGCTGCTCAATGTCAAAAGTTTGAACGTTCCTTTTAAAAGTGCGTTAAGCACTCGAGTCGCTCATAGTGCATCCCCCTTCTCCCTGATGCACCAAATTTGCGGGGGGTGCAAGAAGCCCTTTTAGGTAATGAAGGTAATGCTAAATAATGATAACATCTGAATTGTGTGTTTTGGAGTGACACCGAGGAGCTCGTTCGGTGTAACTCGACGTATAAAAGGAATAGTTGTATTCCTTTCAAGAGCTTAAAACACTTGAGCTACTCGCTCCGGTGTTTAGTCGCCCCCGATTTGCAGGGAACAGATGCGTGGTGCAACAAACACTTTTCGAAAGGACTAAGCGCGTGAAGCCCCGGAGCTGTTCCGGAGCTCCTTCTAGGTGTGAAAGGAATACAACTAATACAGTAATTGAAGGGTTGCCCTGTACAGTAGGTAAAGAAAGAATTATCAACTTACCTTATTTAATCACCACAAAATACGTTGAAAAAACACACTACAAATAATAACTACTTATACCAAAATTTAATAGAGCCGCGGAGACCTCTTCAGTCTTCAGTCTTCAAATACACAAACTAACCCGAACTAAACAGAAAAATTATTAAAATATACCCGGGGTACTATGGCCGTTCGACAAAGGTCCTTACAAAATTAAGTCCAGAAACATAACCTGATCACGATCACGATTCTTAGTGGGAGTGCGTTCCGTTTCCAACCTTGGTTACAGTAAAGCTACATCCTCGATCAATCGGGCAGCGAAATGGCAATTCGGCACGCGTGCTGGGAAATTGATAACCCATCCCCCTATCCTCAATGCTGTCAATTTTCAGTCTGCTGTGCGTGTAGTACGATCGCGAACCGTGCGTTCAGTATTTTGATCTGAGTTCTCCGAGCATAAATTTATCGTTCGTTTTTTAAAAAGTGTACTCGGTGCAGGCTCATTCATGTTCGATTATTAAAATTTTGAGCCTTCTGATACAGCGTTCAACTGCTCTGTGCGCTCGCTAGTCACGTGATTACAGCTCCGTTCTGCACGCTCTGCTCTTCGAGCAAAATACCGAACACAAGGATAACCTGAATTATTTTTCACCGTACTGCGCATGACATATGTCGGCACGCATCGAAAAAGCTTGTAGCTTGCAAGCTTGCACTTTAGAGTCGGCGTGCATGCTAGCACGGAATTGAATTGAGGATGCAAACGTTAAGCAACATTTATCCTAGCATACGTGCCGAAGTGCCACTTCGCTACCAGATTGATTGAGGATGGGCCTTTATACGTTCCGGTGAAAATGGTTATGTCACCGATGCAACCGGCTATCGCTGAAAGGTTTTTCGGTAACTGTCGGCTATCGAATTGTCACCGTTCCGTTTTTCCGGTTGGTTATTATTTTTTTGTTTAATTTATATGTTATATTATAATTTTCTGTATAATTTCTCATTTCTGACAATTTTTGTGCCTGTGAGTTTGAAAAATAGCAAAGTATAATGGAAGTCGAAAAGAGAATACGAAGAATGTAATGCCCAAGGTTCCTAAATATTAATTGCTTGTAATAGGTTGTTTGATAAGGGCAAACAGATGACGTCATCGGATGGTTCCTATGGAGATTTGCATTGTGCTTAAGCATACAGTCATAAAAGTTATCAGGCAACCTATCTCTTCCAAGCAACCTTGTCGGATGCCTAAATCACAAAGTTCCAAAGTCACTGCATGTCTTCAATTCAATTGAATCACTGTCAACCAAAGATCTACAGACCAGTTATCCAGGGTTGGGAACGGAACACTCTCCAAAATGGATAGGTGATTTATGGCCGTTTGCAACGACCATTTTAAGGAAACATTAGCGATAAGTATTCCTTAAATTGACATTTCTACATGGATAAATGTCACTTTAAGGAATACTTATCGCTAAAGCTTACTACTCATAAGTGCGAAATTCGCATTTTTTTGAGATTGTTTCGACAATTTGACGTTTGATTCACGCATATAACGTCAAATTGTCGAAGCAAGTGCGATTTTCGGAGTTATGAGTACTAGGCTTAGAGCAGGTAAGAATAAAGAGGAGTAGTAACCTGGATTTGGAAAATGAAGCCGTTTTTTTCCAGGTATTTTGGCACCAAGAAAATGGCGCTTATGGCAATTCAATGCTTTACCTGTATCTTGGTGCCAAACAACTGCCAAAAATTTGGCTTCACTTTAGTTTCATAAGCAGAATGGCGCGTTCCTACTCCTTATGTCCGTAGGACAGGCTTTCCTGCTCTAAGGTACTAGGCTTAAGGC